TGTGCCAACTAACAAAACGCGGCGTTAAAGTAAATAATTATTCCAGAAAATAAAGCATAGGTTTGTTGAGCTTCTCTTACATCATTGACCTAGGGAAGCGTAGCGTTTGTGGATGCATTATATGAGATTGCGTCACTGAACCCAGTTACGTCAAAGTTCAAAGAAAGGCGTTCTTGGGATAATGCAAGTCCTTCGAGGATATTGATACTGTTATTGAATTCTCCCTAGCGCATACATCCCTTTTAAATTTTCTTCAGCAGAATTATATCGCCTGCTTGTGCTTTGAATATCTAAAGATTCTTTGAAACTACAGCGTACAATGATTTGTTCTGAATTACGATTTTGCACATCTTTGTTTTCAAAAAATCGTCTCGGGGCTTTTTTTCGAAGTACTGCAGAATTAGACGTGCATATTTCTCTCCCTAAGTTTTCTTAGAATTAAAAGCTTGGACTCGGATGAATGCATGTAACATTTGGAGTAGAACACTAAACTTTGATGATTTTATTGAAATCGTTCGCTGGCTGAACGTTGTGTCAAAGCGGCAAACATGCAGTCAAGTATGTGAACAGAAATATGTACAAATAAAAAAACACGTCATGATAGCTTTGTGTAGTCAAACGACATATGCGAAGATTAGCAAAAAATACAAGAATCATAGTTACAAGTTACACTTATGTGAAAGACAAATACTTATCAACATTGGCAAAAAAAAAGAACAATGAAAAGTGATTTGTTGTTTTATTGAAAAGATAGAAGTTCAAGAATGTTTGAAAAGTGGAAAAAGCTGGATGACAGAATCAAACCTAAGCTATAGGGACATCTCTATGTCAGACCAAAGACAAGTTTTATGTCAATAATCATGATAGAAATTCTCCACAAAAGTGTAAAGCACTATTTTGACTTTTAAAGGCGTTTTTTATAAATATAAAGAGTAGAAGGCAAAATATACAAAGTTAAAGATATAAGGGAAGAGTGAAACATTAGAAGTTGGTTGGCGACAACTTAGATCATGACGCTTTGCGCCTTAGCGGCAAATTGCTGTTCGTATCGATGATCGAAGCCAGCTGAACCGGCCCAACACCTAGAAATAAAGGAATTAAAAGATATTTCGCTCAATGTCTTAGCACAGCACCAGTTTGAGATTTTGCCAAAAAAAATATAAGTACGCCTCTTATATGCTTGTATCTCTTAGCGAAAATTAACGTCAAATCACTGAAAATGTTAATTTTCTGCTAAGGAAGGATAGGCAACGAATAAATTGTCAACGAAGCCTAAAGTACACACTGTATAAATTCCACTCTGCAGACTGCGCATGCAGCGCATACGCAGTGCAA